GGAGCTAGGGAGACCCCTGAAGTACAATATCCTTTCAGTTGTTTTTCTATGGTTGGATTTATGACACAGTAGGAACACAAAGATTGAATTCAGGTTGGAGACTGTATTTTCCCTCAAAGACACGCTTTAATACAAAAATCCTTCTGTGTGTTAAAAAGAGAATGAGGGGATTATTAAAAATACTACAATGCTTCTACCTACCACAATGGCGACAACAACAACAAAAATAGAAAGCGTGGATTTTCATGCTGACAGTTCCGTATTATATTGAAATATTTTACAAAGCAGCTTATATATAGTGTATTTTAATACTTAGGTATGTCGGAGATAAGTATAAATTTCTGTTGACAGGATTTGGAAAATTTGCACTTAGATTTACAGATATGCTTGTCTTTAAAATCATCTTTACTATTGTGACTTTAGTTATCATATGATGATGTTGCCCTTCCATTCAATTCCCTCTAAAGCTTATATCCTGGATATGGCACCCAATGACAGACTGCCCCCTGGGTGGCGAGCCATACAGTAGCTATAAAAATGATCCTGTCACATGGCGGAGACTAAAAATTGAGTATAAAAGTTAGTTAAGACAGACTTCTTGCTGTGCATTTATTTAAAAGAAAATGAACTAACTACGGAAAAGTGACAATTAAAAAAAAGGTCCCAAAGTCCAATCTCTGGTGTCTCCGTGTTTTACACTTGCAAAAGGGACATAAATCTCTTTAGCCAGTTCCAGTGTGGACTTAATATTAAGGTAAAGGTCACATTTGACAAGGAATGCATATACCAGTGATTAAGTCCATAGAAAATGAATGCACACCAGTGTAATGTCCTCTGATGTGACGCACTTCTGTGTGGACTTGTGTACGGCACCACTTGAATTTAAATGTGCTTGTGTGTCGAGCTCTGAGCCCTGAAAGCCCACAAACGCAGCACATTAGTTTCTTTCAGGCATAGCTCGAGGATATTTCAGTGACCTTGGATTTTGTTTAGCATTTGCTTCTCTGTCTCAGGTTTTGAAACTCTTTTTAGACGTTTGTAGCCACACTCCTCATTTTGTGACTGCAATGTAAGCTTACATGTGTTGAAATATGCATATATGCAATATACAGTCCCTCTTCAGGGACATGCTTAATGATAGCTCCATTTGCACAGCTTTCACTTTAATGATCTATGAAAGTATACTTAGTCAGTAATTACATGGAAAGTCTCAAAAGGCTTTTAAGAGGCCCCTTAAGGGCTCATTTAACACGAAGGAAGTCTAAAGAAAACAATATCAAAGGATTTTTCTTGTATTCTGACATGTTTACATAAGTGATTGAAGTCTAACCAGGGATTTAGTTGTCCTGAAGATACTCCTGGAACGTATAAGCTCTGTTTTAGCCCTCTTTTTTTCTATAGGCTCAAACTGCTCTGTGGAATTACATTTTTCACAAAATATTGGCAATTTGGAGAATAGCATAAGTAAGTTTATTTTAAAGCTATTGTAATTAATAGTTAGATTTGTTGTTGCAGGCTCAAAAGTCCCACATCCTCTACTGATTAGCATGAACTGAAAGCAGGGACTTAGAATAATAATGAAACTAGAATCAATAAATTAACCAGTGATCCTAAAACATATCCTATTCAAAATCTGTAGTATTTTGAGTTTTTGTTGTTGTAAATTTGCATTAAGACTGCACAACACACCTACACAGACAGTGGATCTGTGTAGAGCTACTCAGTTTGAGACACTGTTGCCTTAGATCAAGAAGGTTCTTGGTTTGAATCCCAAACTATTTCCATGTGAAGTTTGCATGTGCTTCCTCCCACAACCAAAAACATTACTGTTTGGTTAATTGATTTCTCTAAATTGTCCTTGGAGTTTATGGCTACATAGTTGTCTTTGAATACATCGAAGTTTAAGGTTGTAATATCGGAACATGTTTGAAAAAGTCCAAAGCTTTGATACTTTTTTAAGGCACAGTGAAACCTGGTGGGGAAAAAAAAGTATTTCTTTATTGAGAGGTCAGAGCTACTTTCTCACCAAAATCTGTGCCCACCGATTTTTCATGTAAAGGTCTATTCACCTTTTGTTGGGTACAATCAGAAATTGGAATGGTCTGTTCAGTACCAAAATCAAGTGCACTTCACCTGGCAGAAATGTACCAGACTAACAACCCCTTTAGTGACAGCTGGATGTCATAGGAGGGAGGACTCTGGGGAATCAAAGGGAGCCTGAAAAGTGTTCTTATTATTGAAGCAAATTGAATCTGGGTGCTTTCAATCATGTAATTGCCAATATTTGTACTTGGCTTCTGTAATGATCTCCAAAAAGAACACCTTTTTTTGTTCAGTTTTCCCAATGAATACAGATTACAGCCTTATGAAGACATGTTGCTTAAAATTACACCTTATATTTTAATTTCAGAAATGCCCAGCATCTCTAAGACAAGCACCCTTCACATGTTGCATGTTTGCATCTTCAATTCAAAAGGTTTAGATCGCCATCTTGAACTTTTTCTAGGCTTTCCCTTTTCTGATGTGGATGGCATTCTCCAACATTTTGATAAAGTTCCATCCAACCATCTCCTTGGATGGACACAACAAATTTTCTGCTGCTTGTCAGCATGATTAAACATTTAGGACTCAGGTTTCTGTGGGGTTAGCACTGGGGATAATAGCCCTCCCACTCAAAGTCAATATTCCCTGCTTCCTCCTGCCCTCCTCTGATCCGCGTGAGTATCAGCTCAGTCTCTTCTTCTTACTCCACTGTGGAGTGACTCATGCCGAGTCCTCTTGTGGTTTAAGAGCTTTTCTCCACCTTTCCTGCTTGTCTGTTATTTAATTCATGAACCTATTCACTCTTTGTCTGTAAATGTCCTTTATGTGATTTATTTAATACCCCCTCATCTGTGTTCTTCTAAAAGAGTAGAAGGTCATTTTTATGTTTTTCATGTTTGTTTATAGGCTAATTAGAAATTGTGGACCTTTGTAGGCTTCCATCATCTTTCAAAGCTTAGCAGAGTTTCTGGGTAATGTTTTCAGATTTCTCAAGGTTTACTTATTTATATTTTTCATCTTAACATTTCATCATTTTTCTCTTTTCACTTTGTTTTTTTAATGTTGCCCTTCAAATTCTGCTATTTATTAAAACACCACAAACAGATTAGGGTGCATTCTAGTATGTGGTCATTTCACGGCATTTAAAAGGCTTGGGAGCTGAGCAGAGTTATTCAACCAGTTTGAGTCCATTTTCTCTCTGCACCATAAATTCTGCTTTCTATTGCACACAGTTGCATGCAATGGCAGCTGCACAGGCTCAAAGGCACTGACTGAAAACTGTAAAATCCCTACAAATTAGATGATCTAATGTCATTATAAGTACTCTTCTCTTTTTAAGTGAAAGCTAAATAACTGCATGTTGCTTTTCTTGAAGCTGGTGCATCAAGTATAATTACAGCTAACCAAAGTCAAGAAACACATGGAGGCAGGACAGATTGAACAAGTTGCATACATTGAAAAGAATGTGTTGCTCATCACATTTCATATTTCAACTAAAAAGTGTCAACATCCCAAAATATGAGTTTTGGTGAAGTAAATATGAAACCAAGATACTTGATTTCAGACATTTTTTACATTTTTCCACCTTTATGGTGACATATCACTGTTGGTTGATGTAAAAACAGATGCATCGGCTTAAAGGGAAAAGTGAGAAAAAAACTGCAAATACTGCAGCAATCTGCTGGCATAGATATCTGTTAAACCACTATTTAAGACGTATTTGATTCAATTCAAGTGATCTTTCTTCTTTATTCTGTAGAGTCTGATGAACTGTAGATAAAGTTCCATGTGTCCTCCATATTTATCAATGAAATAAGACCTAAAATCTCAGGTTGAAGTAGACTTTTTCTTTTAACTCAATGCAGATAAACTTACTCTATTGTGGTAAAACTACATGGCGTCTTGGTGATAAAAGGTGGATGTTAGACATTTAACAACAAAACAATGATTATATGTCACAGTTGAGGAATTATTGGTTTGTACAGACAATAGTGTCATAGGTCTGTGTTATTCCAGTGGCTAAGAGCCAACTCCTTGGATCCATTCCCATTTGTTTCCACTGTCACATGTCACCTCTCGCTGCACGCTGTCAACTCTATCGTAGCCTCCCTTCCAACATTTACCATCCCACGAACTACACTTATCTTCCAAGTCCCTGGCCTTAGTGGGAAACAGGTAGATAGCTAGACTTTGCTTGGTCCAACTGTCATAACATCGACGACACAAAAGGAAGGCAGGTGAAGGCCGCCACCTGAGAGGGAACTGGTTTCTGACACCTCTATTAACCTTCAGGAAATATCCATCTGCTGTCACACCTCTGAGTTCTCTTTTTCCTGCACTCCCTCATTTCTCACCTTGTCCCCTGACTGCTGTTCCCCAGGCAAAGATTGTCCCCAGAGCAAAAGAACAAAATAACAAATGACTTCTATTTCCCTTTTTTTTTCACAACCTTGAAGACGTTGGTATGCAATGGATTTCCATCCCATTTATCTACAGGTCTCAGTGTCCTTTATCAGCTTCCCATCAATTCTCTAGTTTGTCACAGTCTCTCTCCATCAATCAGCAGGTAATTCCGACGTATTTGCTTCCCGGTGTATCTTCAGCACTGTTTGTACAGTGACCTCCATGGAAGGAAATTCATGTGGCAGTGGAAAATGCTTCATTTTGTGCAGTGATGTCTGCTTAAATAGTGAAAATGCATAAAATGCTGCAGCTGTTCCACGTCAAATCAACCAGAATAATGGAAGTTAATGGAAAGTGAGTCATACAAATAAAACTGAATGTAAACCTGTTTAATGAACACATGCCCTTTTTACCTTGACACCCATTCAATATATCATTTGCTGTAATTTAAACAAATGAGGGCGAATGGTGGCAGCAAACAACCGCTTCAATTAAAGTGTGCTGCGTGCCTTCAGTAACCGCTTCCTCTCGCTCTGTTTCCTTTCTCCTCACAGGAATTCACTTTGCTACGACTGGATGATGTGGCTGACCAGCGGGTCAACATTGTCGGGTTTTCAGTCTTCAATAAAACGCATCCCTTCTTCCAGGAATTTGTGCTAAGCCTCAATCGCTCCTGGCAGGAGAATTGTGACCACGCACCCTTTGCTGGCACTCCGGTTAGTGACCCGATAAAATAATCTCACATACAGCAAAGATGCACCATAAGAATGAAGTGTGACCTCTTAGTTCTCAGCAGAGGAGTTGAGAGGAAATGAATTAAACACTTCATCCTCCATCCACTCCATCTTTTAATCATAAAAATGAAACAGCTATATGTTAATCAGACTGTAATTGCCACTTTTATGGTGTTCTTCTATGCTAATAAAACGTATTATTTGTTATTTTATGTCAAAACTGAACCAATTTCTTGAAAGAAAAATAACCTCAATATATGTTTTAAGAGGAGGCCCTGAGGTGCAAACCACTTCAACATAAACAAAGCACAATTACAAATTCATAAACACAACAACATTAATTAATTCACATGCAGTGGAAAAAAAAAACATCTTCATCGCATCGGGGCCTTGACTTAGCATCTAAACAGACGTTGTGGAGACGAGCTGTGAAACAGGTCTGAAGAAAATTCTGTGGATTCGGTGCAACAAAATGAACCTTTTTCTCCTTTACAAGTCTCAGCTGCTCTCCTGTGACTTAGGAAGTGAACTGTCTTATAAGTGCATAACTACATCTGTTTTTTTAAGTAAACACATGAAATTTGAATCTTATTTCAAAGAGTTTTGACGGATATGTTTTTTTTTTTAAGCTCTTCATAAATTCAGAGGACATTCACAAAACATCTGAATGTCACAGTCTAACTATGCTATGCTGTGTTATTTCCACACAGGACTTTTTGAAGCTTTACAGACAACAGTTCTCGGGTTGCACACATTACAAGGAAAGACACTGAATGTTGCTCTTGTTTCCCAGACAACTCATTAGCATTGCTTAGCACCAGCTTATCACTTATATAATAGCTTCTTCCTTGCTAACGGCCCATCATAGAGCATGCCTAGTCCTAAATAATCTCCTAAATTATCAAAGATGTTAGGAATTCAGTATTACCATAGCTATATTCTGTAATAGTATTTGTTTTTAAACATATATGCTTATTTGTTTAAAATGGCTGTGTGTCTTAATTAAGAAGATTTTCTAAAATATTTTCTTTTTAATACTATTATCCCTAGTTTATAGAACAGGATTATTGGAGTTTTCACTCTCAAAGTCTCCAAATAAAAGATGGTAAATTTCCCTCATGAACTGCTTTTTATGGGACTACAATTTATGAGCATTATCTGACTTTCTAATAGGCCCCCCAGGCCCGGCGTTCTCATCCATTTGTCTGTAAGCCTGGTCGTAAAAACAGAAGCTTAGCGTTACATCAGGAGCTATGACGGTGGATGTGTGTTCTCAGACTCCATGGAAGCTATAAGGACAGGATTTCCTGCTTGTCCACAATGCCATTCTGACATTATAACATTTCAAGAATAAACTTAGCAAATCCTGAATTGGTTTAAATTATTTTTAAAACATGTGGTTGTATACATTACGCAATATCCTTATTAAAACCTTTTCAAACGATAAAGTTTAGATGATTGGTGAACTTTACTAAATAGATGGCATCGTGAGGAAAGAATGAACCTTGTGTGAAAAAATTTAAGTAGCCTGTGTTTTGGAGCAGGTGTCACAAAACCCTGATCTCAGTCCCATAGAAAATTTGTAGGCAGCTGACAAACCTCAACCACTTACACCAGTTTGGAAGATAAAAGTGATGATAATAAAATAAAAATTGGTAAAAGCATGAGCAGAAAATAAATAGAAAATCACTAAAAGTTCAGACATTGTAGAATGACATTCCAGATCAAAATTCAGATCAGATGAATAGCTTCAGGGTTTAGTTTTAACATAATTTTCCCTGTTTTAAGCAAGAAAAAATACAAAATGAGAAACCGGTCTTATGCACGCACCCACTAGCCGTTGGTTTAATGATGCGTGGTGAAACAGGTTAGGAATAATTCATACATAGCTAGAAAAAGTGTCTTTTTTATACACTGGGTCACTTGGATACTTGGTGAGCCTGCGGCAATTAGGACTTGTAGTTAATTAGCAAATAACCACCAATGATACAAGCTGACAGGAGCCAAGCAAGAAACTGATAATAGCCCAGATAGACATGCACTGTCATTACACCCTTTTAATTCACTTTCGCACATTTTCAAAAAACGCAAACAGATGACCTTACCAGTACATGTGTTTCACTGAGACATTAGTGAAACACATGTCTCAGTGACATGTGTTTCACTAAACACAGGACTTCATAAAATTGAAGTCCTGCACCATTATTTTTAAAAGAGAACATGTGGGTGAGTAGCATCAAAGTTTAAAGATCAATAACTGTTCAAAAGAAAATAATTAGGTTTTGTCAAATAAAATAAAAAAATCTATAATAACAGTGCAGTTAGAGTCCAGTTAGGTATAAATAGAGATGTTAAAGATGCATTCCAACCACTTTTTGCAAAAAAAAAAAAAAAACATTACTCTTGCAAAGAGAAAATTTGGCACTCTTCCTCTTCATGGCGGAGGAAACAGGTCCAGTTGGCAACAGCTACTTCGGCACAATACCAGTGTAAGGAAAGGTGCGCATGCATCCATTCATCATCATGCACGGTTATTCTTGTGGGATGACGAGGAGTGCTGGTGCCCAGCAGCAGCTATGAATGAACGAGAGGCAGGGTACAACCTGAACAGGTCGCCGCTCCGTCACAGCGTCCACATACAATCCACACAAGTTTTGGAAAGGCCTGTGCCTTTTGACATAACACATGTTTCACTCAAAGTGGGTGTTGTGTTTAAATAGATAATAAGACTGAGAGGGGGTGAGGAATAAATTAACTCTGATCTGATGTCACATGTGTATATTTTTTTTATTTTATTTTGACAGATGCTGTATGTCCTATTAATAACAAGGGCAAAATAACAATTCTGTATACCTAAATAAAATGTTTTTTGACAGTCCATCTTATGTCAAAATGTGAATCAGAACAGAATTTTACTAAGTGAAGGTGAGTATAGGGAACCTGTGAGCTATAGACTGAATAAGCATAAAACTCACAGAGTGTTAAACAAATTTAGATAACGAGACCTGTTATGGTGTTTCAGTTCTTTTCCCTAGTATTACAATATTATATATTGTTCAAGAAAATTGTCCTATATTATCTCAGTATTATGTAACGACTTCCACATTTTGCAATGTATAGAATTGATGTAATATCATTTTCATACAAACACATTTTTTAAGTATTCAAATGAAGCTTTAGCATATAGCCTAAAATAAAAATAGGTTTAATTTTACAGTAAATTTATATTATAATTTTACAGTTCAGACTTGTGAAAATAGTCAAAACACTGCATGTCAGGCATCATTAAAAGAAATTATTCAGATTAATTTATAATTTTGTTGTTCCTTGTTTGACAAGTCAGCTTTAGATTGACTTTAGATTGTTAGAATAAATAGGTGCAAACATTTTGACAATTGCAAATAGAAGAAACCACATTGATGCACACACTCTGTGAAGATTAATTCATACAGGGGTGTAGGATCCTTAAAACTGAAAGAGGAACTGATGGGCTCACCTACTTTCTGATTAATTCCACTAATAATCAGACAAATAGAGGATTGAAATTGAATATGGCACTCCAATGGCTTGGGTGTTGGAGCAAATGGCTGCTGCCCACAGAGGTTCAGAGGTCAAATCCCGTTCTTTTCCAGAAACCATACCCTTGACCCTAACAGTGTCCAACCACTAAAATCAGTCAAGCATCAAAAGCAATACTCTTATTTTTAAAATGTTACAGTTCTTGTTATTCTAAAAAAATCTACATTATTTCCTACATAGCTCGTGTGTAAGGTCTTTTTTAACACACCAACATAATTTGCCAGATATAAAACAAGGCGACGGCAAAACCAAAACTTAAAATTAAATACTATCTCCATAGTATATGTCAGAGCTACTGAAACCTTGTTCTCCTGAACCTCAGGGCAAAGGTTGCCAGCGGTCCCACAAATTCATTGCACAACCTTTAAGAATTGAACTTTTCAGTCAGTAGCACCAATTCTGTCAAGTGTTCTTCCTCTATTTATGTGGTGGATAGACTGTGTCAATGTCACCTTTAAATAAGAAGGATTTTAGTTAAGCACACTCCCTTAATGTTTCATTTTTTACATGAATTTGTTTTATATTTCTCGATAACTCCCCCAACTTTTGGGTCGTTTCATCTCCTGTTCAATTAAACAGATAAATAACAATGAAGCTCAACCCCTCAATAAGCTTCTTATGAAAGGCATTAGGTATTTTAATTAAGTGTATGTAGCAGGGATGAAGCGGCAGTGACGATGAGGCTGTTTGTTCAGGGGAGATGAGAGGAAAGGCTGCCTCTCCCACTGTTTTTGGCCCTTGCTGAGAGCGGCAGACAGTAATTGAAATAGTCGGGGTGTGCCAGCTTCATTGGTGATGAGAGCAGGAAGGACAGAGTCTCTCCGAGAAATAGGAAACACCGCAAGAGAGAGAGAGATGGTTTTCATCGCTGTCAGCAGATCAGACTCTTTTTCATGATCTAATGGAATAATATCACTTCCAGTCTGCAGACGGTTTAACCCCTCACCGCCCAAAAGGCACTCTAATGTTACACTTTGAGTTATTGCAGGTTTCTATGTGTTTTGGTGTGTGTGCGTGTGTGTGTGTGTGTGTGTAGTAAGAATAGATTCACCTTCTTCCTCTGCAGCTCTCGTCAGCCCTGCTCTTTGATGCGGTATACGCAGTGGTTGCAGCGGTCCAGGAGTTGAACCGCAGCCAGAACGTCGGCGCTACTCAGCTCTCCTGCAAGTCATCCAAAATCTGGGAGCATGGCACAAGCCTCATGAATTACCTTAGAATGGTAAGATTAACTTTGATGGAAATGATGAAACTGACAGTAGAGGAACCTGCATATAATAAGGGCATAGTTTGAAATTTTAGGATATATATGTATATTTTATTTGCATTTTTTTGAGTCAAATAAGCCACCTAAAGTTTTTGCATGTGTGTATTTGTTAATTGCACACATTTTCTTCTTGTCTTCTTGTTTCTTTATTTGCCTGTGTTCTTTGTGCCCTTTTCAAAGCTGCAGAGAGGAGACCAATTAAGTGGTTTTCATCCTGTAATTGATTTAAAATAGCTGGATTAGGTGTGTTGTTTCTTACTTCGGAGAAAGGCACAAGAAACAGACTCCCCGAAGAACGAAGAGAGGAGGCTGAAACTCACATGAAACATAGCAACAGACTTGCAGAAAGAGAAATAGTCAGATACATCCACAGTAAATAACTCCAAACTTCTTAACTCGTTTTCTGAGATTAAACATAAAATGATGGCATATTATAGCAATTAGCCGCCGCTCTGCAACACGCTGCTGTCATGTTGTTGAATCAAAACAACATGACAGCAGTCATGGCATCGCCGTCTCCTTCTACAATGGAGACGGCGATGCCAACACCAATGACACCAAGCAACAGCTTTAGTTCTGACGATGATAAAACGTATCCAAAAACATAGTCATTAAATTTTGCATTTTCCAAATGTATGAAAGGTGAGGGCTGTCAAACCTTGAGTGTGATGCTGAAAAAAACTGCATCACTTTGGTTATTTTTATTTCCCTATATTTGATAGTAATAATGAAAATTTGGTTGTCACACAATGATATTCAACAAATTGTCTTAATGAGTGACCTACTTTTTCAGGAGGTAAGATGTCAGTTAACAGCCTCACAGTTTTTTTTTACAGTCAAGAGGCCACATTCGTCAATTTATATCTTTACCATAAAAATGGCAGAGATTGTTGTCTTCACTGAGAAATATTAAAAATCATAATCTAAACTCAAAGAGGCTAAATCTAGAAAATATTAAAACAGTAGCTTCAGTTTTCCAAAGAGGCTGTTTGGAAACAATCAATGTTTTTAAGTAAACATGCTAAAAGCTAAATTAAGGCAAAAATTCTTCCCAGTTTTAAGGAAGACGTTATCTTCTTCATTTGATCACGTTGCATGCCCAGGTGGTTGATCAAATAGTAAATTTATGCAGAAAATAAAATTATTTTTTTAGGTTCTGGCACAGTCAGTAGCCTGATAACATACCAAGTGATCGTACCTGTGCACTGGTATTAATTTTGAGTGCGCTGACAACATTAGTGCCTCTATCTGTGGTCATGGAAATCATGTTACTTCCTCATAGTGAGCGTTTTAATTAGGTGGCGTTTGATATAGCACCTATAGGTTTTTCCAGATAATAGATTGTGTGCAAAATGTAACAATTCAAAGTTCGGTATTAAACTATCAGCGGCTGAATACTTTAGAACTTCTTTGTGCACTGCTCCATTTCTTTATTTTTCTATTTATTTATTTTGCTAGGTAAGTTGCACATCAGCAGATATTTTGGCCCTGCACCTCAAAGATAGTCTTCTGTGTTCAAAGTAGTAGCTTTGATTTTATGCAAATTTGTGAAACTTTCTCTTACTGCACATCTTGTTACAATGTAATATTTGTTTTACCTCTTAGATCTATATATATGATGCAGGATAATGTCTCCCTTTACTCAGTCAGTTTATAGTTTCTCTGCACTATCCTGAGAGACAATGAAGGAGAGATAAAGACGTGCTGTCAGCGAAGTGAAGGGTTTTCTTTTAGAGATAAATGACTGAATGGGATTAACATCCTTAAAGTTGATATGTGTTTGATATCAATCTGTTTGTCTGTCTTGCTCAAAGAAACTAAATGAGTGTGTAATCACTGTAGACTGAAACTTACTCTCTTACATTCATAATATTCTGATACTGATATTTTTTCACAAGAAGATTACAGGAATTTATGGATGCTTTATGATTGTGTTGCTCAATTAATTAACATCAATCAAGTAATTAAACATTTTTATGGACAAATCCTGGGTTCTATTTTGCAAGATGCCTGTGAAAAATTTAAATTCTTCTAATGGTTTCTGATTCCTTTTTCTCTGCCAGAAAATGGTACATCAAAATACTTTATTTACTTTGTCATACTGGAAGCTCAAAGTCCTTCACTCTTTATATTCACCCTTTGCACTCACAAATGCAAACATTTAAACACCAGTAGTCAGCTTGTGGTTTGGTAAGACAACGCTGGATCTGACCCTGCAGACTTTTGATTGAAAGATTATTACTGGTTTATTTTATATTTGTTGATGAGCAACATCAACTAAAGTATCTGTTCAAACAGCTTAAACCTCAATTATCTTGCAAAAGCTTCTCAAACCACAGAGATGTTCAATCTTTTAGGATTCATCTGACACTTATTTTACCTGTAACAGTCCGTGCTTCAGTCCTCCCCTCTTTTTATTTAACATGGGCCTATTTTCCACTTTGGGGAACAGTTTCTCCATTGTTTATGGAGAAACATAACTCTTTCATGCATAGAGAAGGTAAAGTTTGCCCTAACTTTCAGGTTTTACAAATTTTTATAACTCGCCAGTTGATTTAATGACGTTAGGAAGAGCAGCTCTCAGTTAAGGTATGTAAAATGTTGTAAAGTTCGCCTAGAAGTTAACAAGGCTCATGAGAAAACATCTGTGCACAACACAACCTCTGCAGTACATCAGACTAATCATTATAGTGTTTGTGGTTGGATAAAACATACCAAGACAGTAAGCTTATTTGTATATGAAGTGTGAAGTCGTTGTTTTGTACTGTAAACCACTCAATTTGAAAGAACAGACAGCATTGAACCTTCACCCTGTCTCCACATACAAATAACAAGGACAAACCTTCCTCTTGATACGAGTATTCAAATGTTTTGAATAGGGCTAATTGGTTCTGAGGAGTGAAATAAGACTCACCCTCAGGCCTTTTTACTCCTATTTGTTGACGTGTTGCCCACCAATGTTTGATGTTGGAACCGTTGCTAATGAAGAAGAAAATTCTAGGTAAACAATTTTAAAGCGTGCTTTCACGTGTAGTCCCACTAGAAATTAATTGCTCTAGCCTTTTTCATTTCTTGTACCGCTTATAAAGAAATAATCCTACAGTATCTTTACATAAAGACAAAGAGCTTTATAGATAAACTCAACGCATATCACAGTGGTGGAGAATAGGTTCCAACGAGCTTCTTTCTCTGTGTTGGATAGGTAGAATTGGAAGGCCTAACAGGACACATAGAGTTCAACAGCAAAGGTCAGAGGTCCAACTACGCCCTGCGGATCATGCAGAACAGCAAGGAAGGCCTAAGGCAGGTAAAGTCACTTTCCGCCACATTCTACAAGTTAAGACGGTTTAAGTTCAAATGCGTTAGTCACATAATTTGCCTACATACAAAATGTAAAGTGCCGTATGATGTGCCTTGTATGCTTGAGTGAAACAACACAGACTGGTCGATCACTCTTCAGATAAGCACTCGCTTTAATATCACAGTTACTGTCCACATTGCTGATCAGACACAGTTCTGTTCCCAGTAGGGCGCTACTTCTGGCAAATCTTGCACTTTTCTTTATGGTGGTTGGGTACAGTTAGCTGAATCGTACCACAGGGAGTTGTGATAACACTTGCTCAGCTGACATTTCTTGGTGCAAACAATCTCCATTATCCTGCTGGCAGAGGAACTGATGTGCCAGAGGACAAAATTAAATATTCAGGATGCCTCTTTGAAGGTGAAAGGAGTACACTTAAAGGGGAAAATAAATTTAGATTGAAAGAGAAGTCTGCTTTGAAGAAATGAGGGCTTTTGGTGTTGTTATCGTGGCTTTAACAAATTGTCTAAAACTTTAGATAAATGCTACACTTTTTAGTTTGTGAGTCTTTATGCTGTTTTCTTGGCTTTTTCTGTGAACTATGCCGTTATACGCTACAACACTAAAAGTTTATTGGACTTGGTTGTTAAAGTAAATGTGTACATTATGCCATATCTTTCTTATGCCGTAATGAAAGATCAGAAAAAGACAGAATCTTCTAGTTTCCAATCAGTCAATCAGGGCTGAGCTAGCTAGAAAGTGTCCAAGCCAGTGATTTTCTTCCGTCATTTCTTCTGGTAAAAGTGTGCATGTTCTTCCTAATGCTGAGCAGTTTGAAGCAGAAACTTTACCTTTTACTCAAAGTTTACCATGACATCAATCAGTTGCATCCTAAAAACTGCTGTACAGTAGTTTATTATGTGCAAAAACAAATCTCCATGTACTTACTTTTCAAATGTTATGCCTTTTCCCACTATGTTTTTCAGTAACATGTTCAAAAGGGGATATAATTTATTATTTCAATTGTCAAGAGTGTATTCTGGTTAGATTTTATGCCTAATTTTCCTTTTGTTTTTGTATTTTTGCTGACCAACAAGTTTTTTCTTTCTCACCCGTCACTTCCAGGGATGTGTTTTGATATGTATGATATTAAAATCAACACATTGAGGAACCTTATCTGCTTTTTGCAGTGTGTTGTAAAGATAACGCAGAGATTTACATATCATCCTTTCTGCATCACATGCTGCCTGCTAATCAAGAAAGTCAAAACCCATCTGCCTCACCTGCAGTTTTTTTAAGTATATATCCATCTCTGCCCTGTTTTGGAGGAGGAATGTAAACAATCAAATGCAATATTGTCAGGGATCAATTATATCCACATTTTCTGCAAGAGCTCAGCTTCATTAAATCATGACATAATTTGACATTTTTACCCAGGACAGACAGCGTTTTCTTGTTGATAGTCGACGCCTCCAGGGTCGTATTTGATGAAAACCATTTTGATTCGAAATTAGATCAGGTGTTGTAGAATAGGGATTTAGTAATACTACTAACATAATAATACATAGTAAGTATTATTAGATTAACAGTTAGCGTCCTTGGTGCTATTAGCATTACTGACTGCTTTTCCTGCAGAGCAAGTAATCTCTTGCTTTTCAAAACACATTTTCAGTCAACATATTTTACGTGACACAAAGATTAAAGGAGTGAAACAATGCTGTAAAACGTTAAACCTGGCTGTCATCTGGTAATATTATATCACTTACTCAGGCCTTCACTGAACCACAAATTTGTCTTGACATATGGTGGAAAATACATGTTTCAATTAAATACCTTTTTCCATCTCTGTACTTCCTCTGTCTTAATTGTAAAACACCTCACTGATTATAAAAGTAACTTTGAATCTCCACTCTACACAAATTTGAAGCGGCAGAGTTTTGTTCTCAATCTGACCAAGTGTCACATGCTGAGATCACTTGATGAAGAGCAGGTTTTTTGGGTTTCTGGTTCAAATCGTTCAATTCTTCTTAACTTCTGGTTCTTGGTCTCAAAAAATAAGCATTTGATTTCAAAAATGATCATTTTTGAATAAGCATTTTTGAAACAAACTGAAACTGAACTCAGTTTCAGTTTGTTTTTATTGTTCGCATACATTAAAACTAAAATTGACAATTTGTAGCACATTTGTTCCCTGGGAAAAGAACCAAATATTGTTTTGAATGCTGTTGTTGTGTCATGGAGTGACAGATAATTTTGCTCGCTGTAAAAAGATTGTGTGAGTGCACATTTTTATTATTTCATACATCATCCCGAGGGGTTAAAGATGATGTAAAATGGTATCTGTGCTGTTCTTTTCATGAGGCCATAAAAAAAATATGTGCATTGCATTTTCCAAGGAAATATCTGTATCTCACCCTGGCAGCTATAAAACCACACGCGCTTCTGTGTTGCCCTTCTGTCTGTGCAGCATTATGTACACTATACAAGTTATTATCCATCAATTATCATACAAGCTGCCACCACCCTGCTATGGCAGAGAGTTTTGTTTGTGTCTTCTTATCTGGAGCACTCCAAGTAGTTGTTTTTGTATCACCTGCTAGACAAGATAGAGAATGAGAAGGCTTCACAGTGCTTCACTATGTTCTCACCCTTTCAGTGGATGAGCTCATGAAAACACTCCTCCCTGAAAGAGAGCACAACATCTTTTCTCAGCTGCCTGTGAAACCGTCAGTCAGTGGCCCGATGCTTTTATTAACCTTGTCTGTTTCACCTCACGTCCCTTTTAGTCTGGCACTGGGCCATTCAAGCAGAAGGATAACACTATCAGGTCTGATGTGATGATTTCAACCAGAACTACTGCAAAACAGCAATGCCACTAATGGTAATGGAAAGAGGCAAGGTGTTATGGGGCGGGGATACAATGAACGGGGTTGTTGCATGCTTTGTTAACAAAACACCTCCTACATGCTGTTGGTTTGGGCTGCTGGAGACAGCGAAGGGGCAGAGGAAAATCTGGCTCACAACCCACAAACCCAATTTAAGAGCAATATTCATATGCCATCACATGATGCCATGCATGCCATGAAGTCTAAGTAGAATATTAGCATCACAGTATATGTAATATCTGGCACTAGAACGTGCAGTAAGAAGAAAACAAACTTTCCGTGCCAAAAAATGGCATGAACTGCCTAATGAACATCAGTATCTCACCCACCTCTGACTTCTAATTTTGAAACAATAGGATTAATAAAGCTTTACGTACACAGCCATTGACGATCTGTCTGTTGATTGAATTGTAAGCTACTTATGATCATTGTATTATTTAATGAGGAGCTGTCACTGGATGTGCTACCAGCTCTGTAGGGTATATTAGTCAGGGCTTTCAGAGTGTGAAGCATATGCAGCATATTATTATGAGTTTTGTTTCAGTAGCTAAGCTGTAACTCCTACTGGTGTGTGAAAGAGGCAACAAAAAGACTCCATGCCACAAGTTTCCAGGTGAGTATGACAAATATCTCTAACCAGAGATATTTCATTCAAACATGCAGTTAAAACCAAAAGTTTATGTTCACAGAAAAAAAGACGCATTCACATTTTTTTCTCGTTGTCTAAAGTTAAATCAGCTTAAAACATTTTTTTGCATTAGGTTAATTAGAATGACTAAAATTATTTTTATTTTTTGAATGGCACAGTAGTGAGAGAGAGATTCTGTCTACTATCTGATATGGATGATCATCAGCTGCTTTATACGGTATACTGTACCTGAGGACGCTGTCTTGTAACTGTTGCTTCACAGTTAGAGGAGCTTGCTGGTTTTTCCTTAGTTACTAAGTTATCCCTGCACATCTAACTTTTACCAACAGCATAGTATGATTGGCTGGAATTGATCATGCAATGCACGTTTTCAATATACAGCAAAATGTGGGGGGAAGAAAATGGACTAAATTGGGTTTGACTTTATGATTAGACTGGAGTGGAACATATTGTGTCGTGAACAGAATTTAAACTGAATTTGATCGTAAGTAATTTGAGATAAATTTGACTCTTTGTCACATAAAATTCCTTGAAATTACATTTTTGGGAGTTGCTGCTGTATAAACTGAATTTAACTGAATATCAGGTTAATTGGTGACTTACCAAATGCCTGTGTGTGCGCGTGTGTGTGGCCTTGAATTTGATACACTGCTGTAAGGACACACTGCTGCTTGTGGGGGACCCATGAGGAGAGGTGGTGTTTTTGGGTTGTGGTTTAAGTTTAGGACTACTCTAGATTATGTTGAGGGTAACAGTCAGGGTCAAGCTACATGCAATGAATACAAAATGAATGAAACCCAATGTATAGTCCTTGTGAAGACAGTAAGACATACTTTCTCCACTAATCTGATTAGTGCGTGAACTCACATTTAATTTAACTGATAGAGTCTATATACAACCTTGTAGGTTTAGGCCAGAAAGCAAATTTTAAATACCTGCACAGTAAATCAGATTCATGTGTATGTGACCTGTGGCGAGAAGAAAAGCTGTTTCTACCATTTTGGCCATTTTTAATTATCGGCATGTCTGCTGGGTCCAACTTTGTTCTAATTCATGGTGTTTCAGGTGGAATCATTACTGAAATTAGCTGGCTGTGCCTGTATTTGTAGAGCGGGGCAATTTCTCCAACTAACCTGCAGAACTCGTGGCTCCCACTGGCACCCTTTCTAATTTGCGAGCAGATGGCAAATAGTCCCCAAATGTAAATCTGCCTCATAGACTCTTTAAACTTATGTTTATATCGCACACGTTATATCTCCCTCACCTCAAGTTCAAAATTGGAGAGTTTGCGTGTGGCAGTGTTTGTCAAGCTGGTTGTTTTAAGGCTTCCTTCAGGTTACGTGCTCCAGACTCTGCACATTATGGGTTACATCTGTAACAGCTGGTTCACTCTCAGGAGGAGGACGGTATACCAGAGACCGTGTGTGGCAGATGTTACCCTCCCGGGCTCCAGAAAGAGAGCTTTTGCAGCA